CTGGCTGACGCCGTCGAAGATTGGACTTCTTCCAAATGTCAGCACGATTGTTTGCCTCATCGAGCGCGACAAGCGCAGCCTGTCATTTAGGCGCCTCGGGAGCCGACTTGGAGCACGTCAGAGATTCCAGAAGCGTCTCGCCTCTTTCGGGAGGGAGCCCCGCCGCATACCTCACGCACTCCCCTCGCCAAAGACGAAGCGGGCAGTCCGCTCGCAACGGACGGGGGGAGCAGCCCGCAATTTGCAATGGCATGTTGCACGCATCGAAGCGGGCAAGATCACAGCTGTGCAAGAAATTGCGGACATATTCAATGGGATGCCTTCTCTACTTCAGGGTTATGTTGCCCGTCAACTGCCTTGTTTCGCCACCAAGTGCGAGGCCGTTCTTTTGTGTGGAAGCTCCAGGGTGGCCCAGACGGCTCATCGGTGGATCTGAAGAAGACGGTGCCGTTTTACATCGCGGAGGTCGCGCTGCCGCTGCCAGCACAAATCAGAGGAACTGATCTCGCCTAATGATGGGAGGCCGGCATCCTTCTTTGAAGGCTATGGGCTATTTGCACTTGCGCTTAACCGACGAAGCACCACCTTTGCGAACGCGATATGCAAACTCCGCCAACAGCATTCACGGGCCATGCTATGGGACTACCTTTGCACAGCGCTGCTGACGCAGCAATGCGGTGGCTTGCCAGGCAGATTGCACGATGTAGCCGCCCATGTTGTCAAAATGTTGTGGGGCGCCGCTGCCTTCCACAAGCTTTCGGCGTGTTCGTGTTTAATTGATTTGACAGCTGCATTTTATTCCACCATCCAACAGCTAGCATGCGATCTGCCCGGCGAGGCCGAGGCCTTTGACGAGGCTCTAAACTCCATGAAGCTACCCGCTATTTTGTCCCAGGGCACCCGGGTGCAGCTGGCCCAGCGGCCCTTGTTTCAGCAACGGGTTGGTCGTTTTCACGCGTTGGCCAGGCTCCGAGGTGGGCAAAGAGGCTTGTTTCTTTTAGGCCGTCCAGGGTGCTCAAGGATTTGTAGCGCCGAGGACAGGCACGAGGCCCGGCACTGTCATGGCGACATATTGCGCCCACGTTGTGTCTGCGAATGTACAGCGCGAGATTGAGACCGAGGCAGCATGACAAGACACCGACTGTCGCAGTTCAGCTGTTCGCTCAGGGCGTCGAAGCACGGCGCAGCTTCGTTCGCGGACGATCTGACCCCCAGCCACGGCGCAGATACCCGCCCATTGTATAACAAGCATCGCCGCATTGTTCGATAGTGCATAGATGGCGCGCGCCCGTTTCGATTTAAGTGCCATGCCTTCCTCCGCGGCAAGTGGGCTCAAAAAGCTCACAACGAGTGGTCCGGCATGTTGGGGCCGCACATAATCTCTCCACTTTTGGGGGCGCGCGCATACGCGGCGCGGCGACGGGCACGTTCGGGCGCGATTCTATCCGACGCGAGGAGCGATGGTGAAGTTGACCGCTCGCAGTAGTATCCAAGTTCGGGCAGCTTGCCGCCCCGCCAAGAAAGCCCGCCCCGCGCCGGGCGCTCTCCGCGCGGGCGAGGGTTTATTATTCGGAGGCATTTGGAGCCAGCTGAGGGTCGTGTGCCTTTGGATTTTCGGCCTGGAACTCTGTCGATCTTCTGGGCCACCACGATAAACTCTCGGCCCTCGTAGACACATTCTCAGGGGCTGTAGCGGCGCACCTCAATGGGCTCGGATATCTCGCGCACCTGATGTCCAGAGCGCCGCCCTTTCTCCGCGTTCTGCTGGACGCCCACTTGTTGTCTCGGGAAGGCTGGGTCACGGCCGCATCGCAGAGTTCCATTCAGCTCCCTAAATTCGTTGATCCTTTTGTTTTTTCCAGGGGGTGGTGCGTTAGACGATTGGGTCGCGGCCAAGCTTTGAGACATCCACCGCATTCGATCCCTGCTCGCGGCTGGCATCGCGAAATCCAGGACGCGGCAGCCCGACCGACGCCGGCGCATCCTGCGGGGGGGGAAGGGCGGGCGCATCGGTCACAGGCACGGCGCCGCAGGAACACGAGATGGAGCCCGAGCGCATGCACTTGCGCCACGGATCTGGCCAGGCATCTGTTTCAAGGCAGTTCAAGTCTCCTCGAGGTTTTGGCCTCCTTAAAGACGCGCGCCTGCAGATGGCCATTGACACGAAGCGCGAGATTTGCCGCTGGGATTGCCCGATGGAACGGTTTTTTGTTTACAGCCACCTGGCAAGGGCGAAGACATATGCACAGGGGTTCGCTCGCTGCCGGCGCCCGATATCCGGGCGCGGAGGCCAGCGGCGCCCGCGAGCCCGGATGCCCAGAGAGAAAATCGCGCCAAAGGCCTTCCAGACGACATCGAACAACTCGGGGGAAAACAAACCGACCTCGTTTTTGACCACCCTCGCTTCCAAGAGATACCAACCAATGCCAAATTGCGGCCTGTACTGGTCAGGCCGCTTGACGAGGAGGCGCGTGGTATGGCTTGGTTTTGCCTGGAAGCGAAAGCGGATCAGCCGCGGGATCCCCACTGGGACCGAGGGCTGCCAGAGCGGAACCTGTTTCGGCGGGGCCGTCGGCCCCTGCGGCGGCTCCTCCGCCTCATGAAGCCATGTTCCTTGTTGATCAACGCCTCCCCCAGGCGGCCGGCAGCCAACCCGGACCAATGAGAACCCCCCCCCCTGCAATTTTTGTTTCGGGGGTGGGCAGACTTCCTACCCTGACACGTCGATTAGCGAATTGGCCGTTTTCGGTTTGCGAGAGGGCGTCGCGGCCGTCAGTTTTGCGGGTCCACGTCCGTCGGCTTCGGTCCTAGGCAGCTTTCTCGAAAGGGCGGTTTGCTAAAAGGAGGCTTTTTTGGGAAACAAAAAGAAATGTGGTTTGCGAAAGGGTGGTTCATAAGGAATATCATGCAATAGCTGAATTTTGTGTTGAAAAAATGGGGACGATGTGTTGAGCGTTTGTTTGCTATGTGCCTTATGCGTTCGCACTTTTATTTTGTCGCCCAAAATCCGCCTGTAGGAGGTCATGCCCGACCTGATCCTAGGCGGCGCCGCGCATAGCCACGAGTGTCATTCATGTGTTGGGAAGGCGGGTGGGGGCGAGCGAGACGGCTTGCGGGCAGAGGGGGCGTCTTGGCTTTGCCCCGACCCCTCCCTCTGCGCTGCCCCATCGTTTCGCCCCCCATCTTTTCTCGGGCCACAGAAGGGAGGGCAATCTGCAGAGCTGGACAGGGAAGACGGTCGAGCAGAACCCCCTCGCCGCCCATTGTCTCGTCCGCGGATAGCACCCAGTCCCCCACCATTGGTGACCGCACGAGCCCCTCGACCATACAGTTTCGGCCCGGCCTCATGGCCAAAAGGTGGGCGGCATTTGCGATGGCGGGGCCCTCGTGGGACGCGGAGAGCGGCTCGGTGCAGTCAGATGGAGGATGGGGGGCCCCGCCCACGACCGCTGCGCCCTGCTGCTGAGCCATGGGGCTTGGCGCGTATCACCCCACAGGAGAGGACGAAGGTGGAGGCGCGGGGGGCAGTTTCGCAGGGGCGAATGTCGCACAGGGAGTTCGTCCCCTCGAGCTGGCAGATTCCTGTTGTCAGCAGGATGCGTGGGCAACCCGGCGCGGCGTCGCATCGCGCGGGTCAGTACCGCGCGGGGCCTTTGGCTGCGCATGGTCCTTCCATGGGGCGCATTTCCCAGGGAACTGCCACACGGGGTGGGGTGCCAAGACCGCGTCCACGCCAGTGTCCTGGAGGGCAGAGCTGCACATTATGAGCGGCACACCTCCCGGGTCAAAACTTATACGTCTGAGTTTGGCCGACAGTTTGTTCGAGGACGTGTCCAGGCGGCTTTATCGGCCGAGTGCGCCACCTTAAGACCTGCCCGAGGATGTGGCCCCATTTTTTGTGCCCCTGGACCGATCCATTTGTCACGCTTCAGCGCGCAAGGGATTGCATTCAGACGAGACTTTCTTAATTCTGCCTATGAACGGCGTGCCCAGCACCATCGGCTCTCGAACTACCGACGTCGGGGAAAAATATTCGGGAATTATTGTGGTTGTACATGATGCTTCTGTACCTTTGAAAGGAGTGCTCAACACCACAACTCCCGCTGAAACTTGAGGCGGGGGTTATACTGTCGTGCGCGCGGCTCCTTCATTCGCGGTCACACAGGGAAGGAGGCTCCGCGTTCTCGAATGTTTCACATCTGAAGTACGTGCGCGAAGGTGACAGCTCAACTTAGCTCAGTCTTGTTGGCCCCGTTCATGCCCCCACCTCAGACAGGCGCTCAAGTTGGGTCCCCGCGTTGTGCTCCTAAGTGAGACATCAGCTGACCTTGTGCTGCATCGGCCTGATGGTGGTGGGTTGTACTCCTGATCTTGCCCGTCGGGGACGGCACCTTTCAATCACCCAGTAGAGGAGGTTCGAGCCTTGTCATGGGCGGAGGGCCCCCAGTAGAGGTGGTTCGAGCCTTGTCATGGGCGGAGGGGGCTCTTGGAGTTGCGCGTGGAGGTCGCGCCGCTGCCGCAATCGCTGCTTCACCTATCGCTGCTCTCTGCTCTTGTTGTATGGGACCCAGATTCTGTCCCTCAGGCCTCGAACGAACGCGGAGGAGGAGGAGGAGGATAAGGAGGAGAAGGAAAGAGGAGGATAAGGAGGAGGAGGAGGAGGAGGAAGAGGGACGTGGGCGACGAGGGAGGCGGGAGGAGGGAGGAGGGCGACGACGGGGACGAGGGAGGTGGAGGAGGAGGAGGAGGAGCAGGAGGAGGAGGAGAGGGCGGAGGAGGAGGACGACGACGAGAAAGAGGATGGGGAGGAGGAGGAGGAGGAGGAGGAGGAGGACGAGGAGGAGGAGGAGGAGGACGAGGACGAGGACGAGGACGAGGACGAGGAGGAGGAGGAGGAGGAGGAGGAGGACGAGGACGAGGAGGGAGGAGGGCGACGAGGGACGAGGGGTGAGGGCGGAGTGGGAAAACAGGATGGCCCGACTGGTGGTCGTTGCGGGCGCCTCGAGCGGGCGAACGCGCGCTTTCGCGCGGCCCGCCGGGAGGGCCACGGGAGTCTCGGCCGCGCGAGCTCGGCGCCGAGCGTTCGCGGAACTGGCGGGCGGCGGCGCGCCTCGCCGGCGGCTTGGCGAAGGAGAGCGAAGGAGGAGGAGTGGGAGGAGGAGGTTCAGGAGAAGGAGGAGGAAGAGCCGTAGCCATTTTGGCTCAAGCCGCTTCACCCCCAACGTCTTGGCTCAATGGATCCCGAGGCCCAGCGCAGGGTGGACGCCATCGTGCCCTACCTGGAAGAGGAAGTGTCTGCCAGACGCCGCGGTGACACCGCAGTGCACTCGCGGCTCGAGGCGATCATGCGGAACGTGGCCATGCGCGTGTTCGACGCGTCCATGGCCCAGCTGGTTGGCTTCAATTTCAAGCAGTTCAACGAGGTGCATCGCCGTTCCCGCGGAAGGGCAAGGCGGGACAAAGGAGCTGATGATGTGGTGCCTGCGACGCCGACGCCGTCGGGGACCTCGCCATCACGCAGTTGCGGCGGTGGACGCGAAGGCCAGCAGTGCCATAGGGCCCTTGAGGGGGATGACTGCCCTGCCGACGGTCCTGCTGCGCTGAAGGGCCTCTGATGGGGGATGACTGCCCTGCCGACGGGCGGGGCGGCGGCGGCGCCGCGCGGTGCTCGACGAGGAGGCTGCCTTCGTGTAGGGCATGGAGGCGCACATAGCCGCGCAGACGGCGGAGGAGGAGCAAAACGTCGACGGGTTTCTGCGGGACCTCTGTGCTGCCATCTGCGCGGCTGGAGCTCAGGCCAGTGCATCATCACGCTGATGGCCGCCCTCTGCTTCAAGTTATGAATCAGGGCCCTGGCATCTGTGCCAGACTTAGGCCCTCGTGTAGTCTTTCCAGGAGGAGGAGGAGGAGGAGGAGGAGGAGGAGGAGGAGAAGAAGGAGGAGGAGGAGAAGGAGGAGGAGGAGGAGGAGGGGGAGAGCGGAGGAGGAGGAGGAGGAGGAGGAGGAGGGAGGAGGAGGAGGAGGAGGAGGAGGAGGAGGAGGAGAAGGGGGAAGCGGAGGAGGAGGAGGAGGAGGAGGAGCAGAGGAGAAGGAGGAGGAGGAGGAGGAGGTGGAGGAGCAGGAAGAAGGCGGAGGAGGAGGACAAGGAAGAGGGCGGACATTCCCATCGCCATAGCGGATTGTCCAGCGGCGTAACCGCGCATCTGGCGACTGAAGATGGACCCCCTCGACCAGCACGAAACTCCGACTTCGTCGAACCGGCTCCGCGCCTCTGACGCGTGCCAGATAGATCAGGAAGGATACCGAAATCGACGAAGAATGGTGGTATTGGCACGTTAGTTCTAGCCAACACCCTTTCCATTTTATTGTCTGGAACTTTCCCCCCTTCCTCCTGGAATATGTTATTCCACACCGCCACCATTTCTGTATGCCGTGTATGCAGCCGCCCTCCCACCCCATCCGCTATCCTTGCATGCCCGTGAGGCAGGGCCATCAAAGGAACATGCAATGCCCAATCGACGTCGCATTGCACATTGCAATAGATCATTCGAGATGGCAAGGCCCTTCATAGAGGGACTGACCAACAGCCATATTGCAGCGAATGGCCCATCCCATACATGAATGAACTCGAGCCTTACCTACCGCGACGGCGTTCTGGCGTGATCTTGCAGGTGCTAAGTTTTGCAAGAGTTGGTTCAGTGTTAATTGCTCCATGTCTGTCAATACCTGGTGGGCGTACTCCTGCCGCCAGGTCTGTCCAGGTCGGTCAGTCCATACCAGCAGCTGCGCTCCGTCGTCCTGCTAGTTTTGCTTCCCGCAAACACGGGAGACCCACCACAGGATGAAGATCTGCGATATTCTGTAATTGGTTGAGCCGGTGTAGTAACGCATCCCCTGTTTCAGGAAACCATTATTGAATTTCAGCTAATGCGTCTGCCCAGCTAGCCCAATAAGCAGCAGTACTTGTACGGCACGCGCTGCGTAAACCCATCCCAAACAAACGTAGAGGAAGCGTGGCGTGTGTAATCCAATTCGCGTACGTCGTACCGTGCAAGCTGTCATTCCATGCAGCCCGTGTTGGAATCTGGAATGTATTGGTGCGTTTCCAAGATTGAGGTGTCGTGTGCTTCATCTAGGTGAATGGCCAGGTTGAGTCTCGGCACACGGCAGTTATACAAAAGTAGCAAAACGACATGCAGAGAGGAGAATTTCAGAATGTAAGTAAGTAGTTTCGTCCTTTCTGTAGTTAACTTGGCCCCAACTGTAGTAGCGACCTATTCCGGAGTAGTGGAGTTCTTAGAATTTTGATCCCGCGTTCATGCAATGGTTTGTCGGAGCGCCGCGCTACTGGTGCCTCCACCCCCAATGCAGCAGGGCATGGGTTTGGCGTAATCCCCCACATTGCGAGCCTCTTTTTGTTGACGTCGATGTTACAGGTCCGCACTAGCTCCTGAGAGACGTAGTGCAAAAATATAGGGACGACATCTTCTGGATCGCACACAACGTAAATGTCATCCAAATAGGCAGCGATATCCGCGCCTGGCGGGAGGTTGTCGCGGAGCCGGCACGAAGCAGCGTGTGGCGCCAAACAAAACAATGTTGTGGGAGTTCGAACAAAGCGACACATCCACTTACAAATGCGGATCCAAGTTCTCCGACGGTAGGGTCATGCATGGTAGTTTGGTCCATAATGCGCTATTGCATTTCTCTTGTAAGAGACCCTCCCATATCCCTTCCTGAAGTATCGAAACCTTGACTTCGCAGCCACTCGTGAACGCCAATGTGATTGCGAATGCCTAGTTACCTCAAAGCTCCGCGGAGTGCGGTAAACATGTTATGGATCGTGACCGGCCCGAGGGTCCCAGCCGGCGCGGAAAGACCACCATGTTGTGTCATGACTCGGCCAAGCCAATCCAACATAAGGTAGGTTTCGTCGTCCCTTTGCAGCCGCCCATATAATCGGTAATAGAGGACCACTGTTGTTGGCGACAAGGCCACCACTACATGTTCATCTTCCGTTCCTGGTGGAATTCTATCCAGAAGCCGTAGTATCGTGTTAGTAAAAAACATTTCCCGCTGAGGCATCAGATGCGGAAATTGTCGAAGTTGTCCGGGGGGAAGGAGGTCGTGCGTCAGGTGATTGGGGGTCTTCGTTGTGACGGAGATGGGATTCAAAGGGATGACGAGTCGAAGAGCGCAGGGGTGAGGGAGAGGGGGAATGGTCAGGCGGATGGTGCGGAGGTGGGTGGGAATTTCAGTGCACGTTTAAAGTTCGGTCCACGTGCAGCCGTGAGGGGCCGTTGTTGCATTCATCTTCTGTTTCGTCCAAATCACTCATTTCGCCAACATCACATGCGAGTAGGCCCTGGAACCTGTTTTCGGCAGGGCCGGCATGAGGAGCGCTTTCACCTTCGCCCCAAAGTCTACCACAGCGAGGCTCCACGTCGTCGTCCATGCTTCTGTCGTCGTGAGCCGTCGGCGGAAAAGCCTCGCCAACGTCCGAGATCGGAGGAGCGGGCGGCGGGGGGCAAAGAGAGTGAAGGGTCAGGAGGCCGCAAATCCGAGTCAATTCATCATTTGGAAGATGTCTGCTAGAGTGGCCGTCAGCAGGGGGCGGGAGAAGCAAGAGGGCACGAGGTGCACCGTGGTCGTTGGGTTCTGCGTCGTCTCGGTGAAGATCGGTAGGTGGTCCTTCCTGGGCGGGGCGGGGGTGTCCTACAAATGTCGGCACAACCTGCGACGGCAATATCTCACCAGATGTCGTCGCAGTCGGATTCAGCATCGGAGTCGGGGCACCCATCGGAGGGATTCCGGGTGCGGAGGAGGGCGGGTCGGGGGTAGGCACGTGGGTCGACGGAGGAAAAGGGAGCGGGGGCACGGGGGGGTCGTAGTTAGCCCTGCTTGGAGGGAGAGGTTCCCCTTCGCAACGCAAAGTATGATTTAAGATGTTTAACGCTCTTACGGCAAATGCAACCGAAGTAGGCTGAGGCCCTTGATGTAGGGTGTAGCCTTGAAGCCGTAGTCGAAACCAAGAGTCGGGATGCCGATGTCGGAGCGGAAATTGGAACTGAATACGGATACGGATATACAGGTTGATGTTGTCGTTGTTGATGTCTGTGGGTCCGAGAAGGCCTAAATTTGTAAAGTAGTTACTGTTTGCTATCGCGAAAGTAGCGCTCTTGGATTGTTCGCCGTAGTTGTGGCCAGGGGCGGGCCTGTAACCAGAGATGAGGTAGCAGGGCTTGCTGCAGGATCGCGGGCAGCATCTCCGACGAGGCCAAGGTTCTTCAAACTCGCCATAATATGTTCTCGTGAGATGGTTGGCCCAAAACCAATATTACTAGCTGTCCGATGCGGACTCCAGTTTCCTGAGAAAGACGGTAGGCCGTGCTATGCAGTGCCAAGTCGAAACACGAGTGAATGCACGGAAACAATTTGCAATGATCATGTCTACGTTGTTTCGGTCGGGCATTGAATTTCTCGGGGACGGCTCGAATCCGCCATCGGCATCGGTCGCATAAGTCGCCACATCCGTAGTCGCAAAGCGTCATTGCATATCGTCGTTGTATGCATGGGGTGGGACCGCGGCGGGAGCTAAGGTCGGATCCGTCGCCGCATATGCCGAAGAAAGTGCATTGTTTGTACGTTGGTTGTCGGGGACGTGTTGGTACCCAATGTAAAATAACATCATACTGTATTGAATACCAAGCGGTCATACTGCATTCGCAAGCCAATCGGAAACATAGTATTGGTGCACGCCGACGCCGAAATAAACCTTGCAAGTAGTTGTGGTTGTCGCACGCCACATTTTAGTAAATACCACCAGTTGTGTCGATATACATCCCAATGCTGCGGTCAAACATGGAGGGCACGATAGATGTGGAGAAAGTAGCCAGGATACATGTACTGGTAGACACTGTTGATCCCACATTGTTGATCATACCTCTACCTATCACCCGATCCGTTGCCCAGGGTCGCTCGGCAGCGTGAGGCCCGGAGGGCCATGGATGGGAGACGCATTGCCCACGAGTTTGTAAAGAAATGACATTTCCGAAATCTCCGTTATGCGAGCGAGTTCATGCAGGGCCGATTTCTCTTTGTCAATGGTCGTTGTCCTCAGCATTTGCGGCTGTATGGACTTCT